GGGTGGGGGGCGATTAATGCGTTTAACATTAGCGGATGTTGCTGCTGTTGCACGCAATCGGGGCACGCTCATCGCGGGCCCCAGTATCTTCGCGCGCGTGGCCCGCCTCTTTACATATGTATATGTATGTGCGCGCGGACGCGTATGCTGATGATAGTGTTGCAGAGCAAGTGGGCAACACGGCTCCGCGCCTCCGCGCCGAGGGTCCACCAGTGGGGCCCGATGAGGGAGAGAGAGAGAAACAGAGAGGGACGCAGTATAGAAGGAGCAAACAGCCGGGCAGGCAGCAGTGCCGGCCCCGCTTTGGGCCCAACGGGGGGACCCGGGGTCACATTCCAAGATGGCTGTGCCTGAGGAATGCAGTGGGTGCCCCCCTAAGACGCCTGCCTCCCTCCTTTTTTATTAATCGGTCCCATTTGCCCGTTCTAGCGAAAAGAAACCTCCTACCTCCTTTATTGCTGCTCGTAGTGAAACAATGTAACGGGTTAAGTGTTAGTTTGCGAGATACAAAATACAACAAGCCAACGTCGAGGGAAGGCGCCAAGATAAGTCCTATCGCGAAAGAGAGAAAGAGAGAGAGAGAGGGAGAAAGAGAGAGAAAAGGGTCGCACATTCAAAATCCGGGGCCTGTTTTTCACGCCAGCTCGCCGCGTTGCAGATGATGCCCATGCCAGAGGATGCTACTAGCTCGTCTTAAACAATGTCTCATAGGGATATCTCTGAGGTAATGATGAATTTTCTATCGTCCTGCGATTTTGGGCCCGATCTCGGGTCAGTATCTTATTCTCGTACGTTATATATTTCTTATTATATAATGTTTTGATTATTTTTTTGTTGGATTCGAGTTAGTTTGATTTATACATATCTATTAAAACCAATGTTTTTAATTTATATGTATAATTTATTTTACTTTATATACAATAAATATTATATTTTTTCACATTAGTTAATATATTAATTTTATTTCTTATCTTTTCTAATAAATAAGAAATTGTTTATATACATATATTATTATTTATAAATAATATGGAGCATGAAAATGTATCTGATATTATCTTCTTTATTTTTCAGTTTAGTTTAGAGAATTTTTTCTAAAGAGAAAGTTATATTTATGTTATTGATTTTATGTTACATATTAAACATCCATTACTGCTTTATTACTGCTCTTATCAGAGTGAACTTTCCTTTTTAAAGTTTTATAGTTTTTTTATATGTGATTTTTTTATAAACGCAGATATCTTTACTTATATATACAGATATCTTAATTGTATCCACTGATAAAAGAAGGAAAAGATTTCTTGACATAAAACTGTCATTATTTCATGGTACTTAGGTGGATCCCGAAGGTACGTCGGCCTTGGCCGCTGGATCCAGGGTACTATTCTTGGAAACGGTGCGCAGGAGTAATGCGGCATGCCAGAATGGAGATTACGCACTTGCTGCAACATTGTATACGGAAGCCCTCGCCTTGGATCCCCTCAGTCATGTATTATATTCAAACAGATCAGCTGCGAGGCTCAAAATGGGATTATTTGCAGCCGCGTTGCAGGACGCTGTCAGAGCCACCGAATTGAGCCCACAATGGCCAAAGGTATATATCCTCTCTCTTTTTCGTTTCTGCTGTTATACATTACACATTTTTTTATACATTACACACCTGTAACAACCATTTTACGATCAGGCGTACTATCGGCAAGGAGTTGCCCTGCAATGTCTAGGACGTCATGGAGAGGCGCTCGTTGCTTTTAGCACGGGATTAGCTCATGACGCGTCCAATCATCAATTATTATCCGGCCTAGTAGAAGCGTCTCTAAAGTCTCCGTTACGACCGACCTTAGAGCCAACGTTTCAACAGCTGCGCGCGATGAAGCTCGACGAATCCCCGTTTGTCGTCATATCGGTTGTCGGCCAAGAGTTACTCGGAGCTGGACAATACAGAGCAGCTGCTGGCGTGCTCGAGGCTGCTCTCACAATCGGTTCATGTAGCTTGAAATTAAGGGGATCCGTATTTTCCGCTCTATCTAGCGCGTATTGGGCGTTGAACTCTTTGGACAAGGCGATAAATTATATGCAACAAGATTTGGGTAAGCAAAAGTAACAATAAGATACTGCAAGTAATCTAATGTAGATTTTTTACACTGACTTTAATTCGTTATTCTTTTTCTTGTAAAGATAAAATAAGACTTTTTTTTATTAATGTGTGTGTGTGTGATAAAAACTTTCAGGAGTGGCACGCTCTTTAGGAGACACGCAGGGCGAGTGCAGGGCCCACGGAAACCTGGGTTCCGCTTATTTCAGCAAAGGTAGCTTCAAAGAGGCTTTAACGGCTCACAGGTATCAACTTGTTCTGGCTATGAAGTGCAAGGATACGCAGGCGGCGGCTTCGGCATTGACCAGTCTGGGACACGTGTACACGGCGATCGGCGATTTGCCGAACGCTCTAGCCTCTCACAAGCAGTGCGTACAATTGGTGAAACAGATGGGCGATCGACTGCAGGAGGCTCGCGAGATTGGCAATGTAGGAGCAGTCTACTTGGCGATGGGTGAATTCGAAAGCGCTGTCGATTGTCACACGCAGCATCTGAGGATAGCCAGACGGCTAGGTGATCGTGTGGAAGAGGCAAGGGCTTTTAGTAATTTGGGGTCGTCTCATCATTATCGTAGAAATTTCGGACAAGCGATGACTTATCACGAAAACGTTCTAAGAATAGCGCAAGAACTCGGCGACAGGGCTATAGAGACCAGGGCGTACGCGGGATTGGGCCATGCCGCTAGATGTGCAGGTAATAATAATAATAATAATAATAATAATAGTACTGTTACTTATAAAGCTCTGTATTATTATTGTACTGTAATATATTATTATATGATTTCGTATATATCTTTTAGTACTTATTTCTATTTATGCGTATAAAACATAATTTTATTAATATAGGCGATCTGGGGCAAGCCAAGCTTTGGCATCAGAGACAGCTCGACGTCGCGTTGGTCACGAAAGATAAGATAGCTGAGGGACGAGCTTGCAGCAATCTGGGCATAGTATATCAATTGCTTGGCGAACACGATGCTGCTTTAAAATTACATCAGGCGCACTTGGGAATCGCGAGATCATTAGGGGACAAAGCCGGTATGGGTAGAGCCTATGGTAACATCGGCAACGCTTACAATGCTTTAGGTTACTATGAACAGGCTATCAAGTACCATAAGCAAGAGTTGACGATAAGCAAAGAGGTAAGACTCTTGAAAATAAATGGTATTATCGTTAGAAAACTATGTATTAAATTCATCGTATTCTTGATTTATACTCAGGTTAACGACCGTAGCTCGGAAGCTAGCACGCACGGAAACTTGGCAGTCGCCTATCAAGCTGTGCAAGGTCACGAGGCGGCATTGAGACATTACCGAGCTCACTTGGCCATAGCGCGCGAACTGAAAGACACAGCTGGCGAAGCGTGCGCATTGTTAAATCTCGCCAATTGCCTTTCCTCGCGCGGCAAATTCGAGGAGGCAGTGCCCTATTACGAGCATTATCTCATGCTGTCGCAAGAGTTGCACGATGTGGAGGGAGAAGCTAAGGCGTGCCACTTTCTGGGATACGCTCACTATTGCCTGGGAAATCATCGAGAAGCAGTGAGATACTACGATCAGGATTTAGCGCTAGCGAAGGACTTGCAGGATAAATCTGGAATGGGAAGAGCTTACTGTAATCTAGGATTGGCTCACCTGGCGCTGGAAAACTTAGACACCGCTCTGGAATGCCAGAAATATTATTTGGGTAAAACTTGTGCTAATACATCCCTTACAATATCCTCTCCAATAAATTTTTCTATTAAAACTATTAAAAGTTTGTAGGAGAGAATATACTATAAACAAAATAAGAATACTATAGTATATATAAACGAAAAATAAAAGACATTTATTTAATG